CGCTCGCCCGGGGGCTCAGGCAGGATGAGCCCTCGCCAGGGAGCGAGCGGAGAGGGAGAAACGTGGCTTCTCCGTGTGGAGGATGCAGTTATTCAGCCTCACTGCGCATCTCAGGACTGCTCGTTAAAGGTATGTAGTGTGATCAGAGACCCTTCAGAGATCTTTTTCTGGGCAAGCTTCTTCTAAACTAAGTCACAGTATGGAACAGAGGAGGCAAAAATCATCTAGTATTAAAAAGAGAAAAAAGCAACTCTTACAAACCAATCCCAGATCTTGGCTCAGTGCTGTTTCTCATATATAGTGCTATACAATTTAGTCATGAGTTGTTTTTTTCGTTTGTTTCCCTCGCAGGCATTGTAAATCTTCATAGTAAAAAACACTAAGATGGCCAGCTTTCCAAAATTCCCTTAGTGTTCATTAGGCTATGAACAATTTGGCGTTCACTAGAACATGAACACTCAAACCAATTGCACATCCAGAACTCCGGCACCTCTCTTTGTTCGGCTTTTGTTTGTTTTTCTTTCTTACTGTCGCTTTTGACTTAGTTGACCACCACCCCTTTCATCCAAATGTCTCAAGTTGAAAAGACCACAGAGTAAGACTTTACTGGTCGGGCAAGAAAGTCTCTCCCTACATTCTACTGTCTGATGAGATTTGAGAGCAGCAGGTAGTTGCTGTCAGCAGTCATTTTTTTGCCAAAAAAAAAAAAAAAATTTAAAATAAAATACAAACACCCATCCGATTTCTGAAAGGTCTACACCATGTTGTGATGGTTATTTCGCTCAATGATGTCCACAGGTGAGAGGATCTCCTTCCGGATGGGCGGTGGAGGCAGGCAAGTCTTTGTCTTGGGCTTGAAGAGATCTGAGACGTAGAAGACCTGTAGGGATAAGTGAAAAAGCCAAACTTAGCCACACTGGGTGACATTCTGTTCAAAAATTGGGTTTACAGAATATATACCTATCTTCAAGCTGCAAAAGCAGCACTTTTTCTGCTACTGAATGCCTGCTCATGACACCGAACGCCGTGCAATGCCAAGCACCTCCTACCACCTTTCTGTACGATACGGAAAAAGGCTCAGACCTTGCAAAAAAACAGCGTAAAAACATGACAGAACAATCTCATTTCTCCCCGCGTAATCATTCAGTGCAACACCCAAACCTCTGCTGAACGGGTTGAAAAGCCAGGAAACAGATACACGGCCCACACTCCAATAAAACAACAAAGGTCTCCGCAGGGCTGGCTCAACTCATGGCGAGTGGCTTTAGGGTCGGAGTCGGCGTGAAACAATTCATTCAGCCAGACATCAGGTGAGCAATTAAAAGCTTTCAAATCAAAACTGTGTTCCAAGTTATCAGCAATGAGTCAACGGTGAGTGATGCTCTCTTCTTGCCCCACCAAGGCGCCGGTACAGAGCCGGGGTCTGGTCCTGAAGCCAAAGCCCAAGTAGAGGAGGAGCTATTCCTGACTGCTTCTTCCTGAATATCCCGTGATGTAACCCCTCTCCCGGATGCGAAAAAGCCAGCGCTTGGCAATTTCAGGAGGTAGCAACACAATAAGAAACAAAGTGCTGGGAGGAAACTTCCACATCCTCCCTTGGCAGCCACTGCACAAAGCTTATCGGTCCTCCAGGACCAGGCCACTTTCTCCCTTGCCAGCCCTCAGCCCCAAGCCAGAAGGGAAAAGAATCAGACAGCGCAGATCCTCCGGATGGGGCAAAAAAGTGGTGAGGACTCATCATTCCATTGGCTGGCACCAAAGCCCCAAAGTTCGGTCCTGCCACCGACTGCCCCTGCCAGCCCGAATCTGCTGGCTCATCTCAGGCATCCTCAAGCATCGTAACTGGGACCAAGCGGTGGGTTTGCTGAGCCGAAGCCCCGGGAGGAGCAGCTGTAGGAATTAATAGCACGTTTTGAGTTTTCTCCCACAGTACTCAGACGCGACATTTAAGCAACAAGACAAAACGTGGGGAAAAAAATAAGTCCGAGGTGCTCAAAGGAGTAACATTAGGTTAGCACGCCCAGGCTGGGAAACACCGGGAGGGGAACGCAGGTTTTCCCCTCTGCATCTCCACGTTTTTCAGCTACCCAGAGCCCTACGCAGCAGCTCTAGTCATCCTAGATGACTAGCTGCAGATACGCAGCTGAGGTGAACAGTGAACCTGCCACAAGTGGCAATTTACTCCTACCATTCTAAGTGGGGATGCAGGAAGCTGAGCTGCTGTTGCTCGGCTTTTATTGCTCCGTGGAAAGGCAGGGAAGGAGCTGACATATAAAACAGCTCTTTTTTTCGGTGCATGTGTTGGTGTCTGGCTGCCTAGTTGTATAACAGAGCTGATAAAAGTTGTTTACAGGGCATCCAAGTGGCAGCATTTGTGCCTTTGGTTAAATAAGAGGATCCAGCTGAACCCGCCGAGGCTCTCAAGCTGGAGTCTGGCCTCTTGCTGCAGCATCACCGTGTAAAAGCACGCTGAGCTGCTCTGGCAATGGCTTTCTTTTGGGTCGTTAATAACTGCAAAACCCCCACTCGGCTGGCTTGGCACATTTCTGATGCCATCTCGCTCATTTGCCCACCTCGGGGAGCTGGATTAAATCAAAAAGATGTCCAGTTTCTGCACCAAGACAGCCATGACAAATCAATTTATGGGAGGAGATTGCTGAGTGCAAGAAGCATATGGGGATTACACCGAGTCTGGTCCTTATTTTGGACAGGAATGAGTTATGGTGGAGTGTCATCCTGGGTATTTTAGCTTTTACTGTGCTGCTCACTGCTTTTCAGGGTTTAATTCAGAGACTGGGTAAGAGGTTTCATTTCTCTTTAAACCGTATTTCACTTTAACGTGGCTGGAGGTTATATAAACACTTACAGGAATCATGAAACGTGATCTTTGGGGGTTAAAACAGTGTGTTAAATCCTCCTAATGCTTGAACTGTTTAACACAAAAAAGGACTAATAAACGTGCAAAGTTTTTCACTTGGATTAGCTCCATTTCCTGTAGAAGGTGCTCTCCACCCATAAAGAAAACTTGATGGCAGCAGACTGGGCGCATATTGTACAAAGCAATTCAGTGTCTTATATTGCCCCTTAACAACTCCTGTTCCTTTTTGTTATATTGAAGAAATCCTTAATCACACACAGAGAGGTTAAACCAAGTCATCTGAGCTAGCCAGAGCAACAGCAAAAGGAGCATATCCTTCCGACGCCTCCCTTTTTCTCTCTCCATCAGATGAGACAAACCACACAGCACACAGCAGGCTGCCCACAACATCCATAAAAACTATTTCCACTTAAGAAATCCTCATTGTATTTCACCCCGGATCCGAGTCCGAATGTTTCATCAGCTGCAAGCGCTTGACACTAATGTCTTCTGCTTGTTATTTCAGGCACTGAAGGCCAAATGCATCTGCTGCGGCACAACCTGGATTTAAGCTCCGGCAGCCCTCGGAGGTGAAACCCACGACTTGTGAAAGTTCCAGCCTGACAACTAGGGTATTTTAAAAGCCCTTGATTATCACCAGAGCAGACTCTTCAAGGCTTTGCTGGGGGAAGGGGTGCCTGGGAGCACCCAGGGTGGGTTGGAGGTGATGTCCAGGTCCCTTCCTCTGCTCCAGAGCATCCCATGCACGAGAGCTGGATCCCAGAGTTGGGTATACCAGTAATTGCTCAGATACAGAATGAATCACAGAATCCCAGCATGGTTGGGGTTGGAAGGGACCTCTGTGGGTCATCTAGTCCAACCCCCCTGCCGAAGCAGGGTCACCTACAGTAGGTTGTAGAGGACC